CTCCTCCTCCTCTTCCTCCTCCTCCTCCTCCTCCTCCTCCTCCTCCTCCCGAGGCTGCTGCGTCGGTGCTGCAGGCGCTGGCGACCGGGGAGCTGCGGCCCACGGCCGGGGACGTGCTCCGCGTGGCCGAGAAGGAGCCGCGCGCACCTCGGCATCGCTCGGGCGCGTGCCTCTCACAGACCCCTGGGGGCAATGAAACAAATCATGATGGTAGGTGTGTCCGTATTGCGAAGGCCTTACGGCCGATGCCGCCGACATTGTAGGCAGCGACGACGAAGACGTAGTTGAATTCAAGATGCCCTCATGTGGCTCGAAGACGGCGCCAGATGCCCGCAAGGTCGTCCGAAGACAGCTCAAGAGACCTCCTCCAGGGTTCGGGAACGGCTCCAGAGAGTGCCAAGATAGGCTCAGAGCGCCCTCAAGTGGCCCGAGAGGGTTCCAAGACGGCGTCAAGCGAGGTCCAAAAGCGCCCGCAGAGGCTGTTTCCCCGTTTTCCGGGGGAAATGACAAACATGTATACACCAGCATCCCGTATACACCAGGATCCATTTTCCTGTGCGAGTTTCAGTGCAGGGCTGGAACAAGCGTCGGTGTATAGAGTTCGGTTCCTATCTCCCAGACCCTCGGGGGTAATGAAAGAAATCATGATGGCATTCGGCCCTCGGAACCGTGAGAAACGACTCAGGACGAGCAGCGCAGCGTGTGGTCGGCTGTGTCCCTGCACTCACGCGCGTCAGCCGCGGTGGCGGCGGCGGTCGCGGCCGGAGGCTCCGACGTCCTCCCTCGCGTGGACGTTCGCTTTCCTTCCCCGGAGCCCCTTGAGTCGAGTCGAGAAGCCATACGCCGTTTGGCGCGTGGACAGGAAAAGTCGGAAACTGGAGCATATATATATATATATATATATATATATATATCCAGGGGCGGGTTTTATTTCAATCCCAGGACTTTTTTGAGGGTCGGGGACGACGTCGGGGTGGTGAGGAGTACACTTCTCCCCCATTTTCCAAGGGAAACGACGAAACATGTATACACCAGGATCCCGTATACGCCAGGATCCGCGTTCCTGTGCGAATTCCAGCGCAGGGTCGGAAAAAAGCGTCGGTGTATTGAGCTCGTTTCCTTAAAACGTGCGCATGCCAATGAAAAACAAGAGGGGGCACATCACGACCGTGACGCAGAAAAACGATGCGCAGCACGACTGCGAAGCAGAAGACTGAGCGCCCCTCGGCTGTAGAGCAGACCCCATCGGGTAATGACAAAATTATGACGGGAGGTTTTTCCACATTTTCGGCCTTTGGGGGCCTGTCCCAGGCCTCGGGACCGTCAGCAAACGACTCAGGATGAAAAATTGGTCCTGGGGAATGGGTCGAGGCCTCTGAGGGTCGACGTTAAGAAAACAGCATGACGTCGAGGGTCTGGGCTTTGTTCGGATGCCACTCGTGGGAAGTCAAACTCTGGGGTCGGAGTACATGGGGTCGGAGTAGATGGGGATGGGGATAGCGCCGCATCGGCGATGCATCGGCGATGCGGCTCGATGTGGAGCCCGATTTGCTTCACGTGGAAGTCGCCGATGCATCGCCGATGTCGCCGATGCATCCGCGATGTATCGCCGATGTATCGGCGATGCGGCGCGATTCTCCGACCCTATCTACTCCGACCCCATTTCGGAGGCCTCTATGTTTTCGGATGCCACTCCTTGGAGGTCGAACTCTGATTTTGCCCTGGTCCAAAAACTGGCCTAATCTAGCTTAGTCTTGAGTCGGCGTACCCCTGTACAGGAGTAGTATCCAATAATAGTCAAACAAATAGCTTGGGGACGACTTTTTGATTACTGTTTGAAATGTTGGGGTATGTTTTGACCATTTTCACATTTCTTCCAAAATCCGCCTGAAGGAGGGCATGTCCGACCTAAGCTTAGTCCCGCTTAATCGAGCTTGAGCCCGCTTAGTCGGGCCTAATGTTGCTGAATCTGCGGCCCACTCTGGCATAACCGCCCCAAAATTTGGCTTAATCCTAATTAGTCCTTTTGACGACGACCTTCTTGTATTTGTCTCCTTTTTGCTTGGCCAGGACTATCGAAGAGGATCTTGGATCGTCTTGCGAGAAAGACACGCACGACATCGACACAGTCATGCAGCGCGCAGCTGCCGCAGATAATGTCAATCAGAAGTCGGGGGAAATGCGCGCAGCTGCCGCCGCACCCGCAGATCATGTCAATCAGAAGTCGGGGGGGCGTTTTTCTTCATATGTTTAATTCCCAAGATCTCAGAGCTACCCATCCCGCTGCCCTTCTCGTGTTTCCAATGTTGCCCGGGAGGCTCTCGTCGCCACCGCTAGATTCGCCTCGGAACCCTAGTCAGAACGCACCCCGGGAGAGGTCCAGGAGTAGCGGTATCGGTACCGCACGGTTTTTGTATGCTTGGGGTTTTCCGTTTTTCACCGCCGATTTTCCCGAAAAATGACATGTTGAGAACAGCATAAAACACCTTCAGCGTCTCTGAACTACCATCGGTCAAGGCCGCACCTCATCCTCCGCCGCCGCAGGTCAGTGTACGCATCTCCATACTCAAACCCCCTCGGGTCATGAAAGAAGCACTACGGGAGGGCTTGGGGCTTGGGCGATTTTCGGTTCTCGGGGGCACTCGCCGGGCCCTGGGGGTGTCAGAAAACGACTCGGGAAGACAAACCGTTCCCCGGGACGAAACCTCGGGCCGCAAGTCATGGTATGGACCTTTGTACTGAGCTCGGGCCCTGGTTCTGCGGCGGCTGGGGCAGTTTCGCCAGGAAGAGGGCAACCCGATTGTCTTCCCAGTGCAGGTTGAAGGCCACACCTGACCGTGGATTCATGCAGCATTCAGAGCGAGAGTCCACCGCGGTCTCTTTCCGTAGCCATTCCGTTGGGCCCAAGGAGTTCTCTTGATCACCTCGCGGCCAAAACTCTGGACGCCCGAAATGGGTACGGAAAGAATGGGCACAATGCCCAACAGCAGTTCCTGTTCATTTTGAACAGGACTCGCTGTCCGCGCCGCCGCGGCCTGTGTCCATTCGAGACAGAGGGCCGCCTGCCCAACAGCGGCCGCTGTTGGTTTGGGACAACATTTGTTGTTGGGCATTGTACCCATTCTTTCGGTACCCATTTCGGGTGTTCCAAAAAAACACCCTGTTCCCGCGGCGCCCCTTTGGTGGGGCAAGCTTCGGCCACAAGAAGATGCGCTACGGTCGAGCCTTGGGCTCGGGCTACGGCGGCGGCGGCGGCGCGCGCGGCGCTGGCGGCGCGTGCGGCTTTGGACGCGCGCTCGGCTACGGCGCCAGGCATGGCGGCGGCGGCGCGCTCGGCTACGGCAGCGGGCGCGGCCAGGCGGACTGCTGCACGGTCACCGCCGCTTCCTGCTGCGGCGTCGGCCCGCGCGGCGCCGCTGGCAGCGCCTGCGGCGAGGCCCGCGGCGCCGCGGGCGGCAACGCGATCTTGTCGCACGTGGGAACAGGGGGCGACTACGTCCAGGAGACGACCTACAGGTACGTGGGAGCCGGCGCCGGCGAGTTCGGCGTCCTTCACATCCCCGACGTTGGGCCCAACAGCTGCTGCGTAGTGATCCCGCTGCTGCTGGTTCCTCTGCTGCTGCTCCTGCTGCTCCTGTTTTATCTCGCCCCTGGGAGCACCACGACCACGACGACCACGGCCATCACCACGCCATTCATTCCGCCGTCCACGGCTCCACCTGACACCACAACGACGAAGGAGACGACGACCACGAGTCCGCCGCCGCTTCCGCCCCCGCCCCCGCCGCCGCCGCCGCCGCCAACGACCACCGAGAAAAGGATGAATTGCGGCGAGGGTACCCCCGCGTCGTAGGACGAGGCGAAGAAGGTGCAGTGTTGCCTCATGGAGAACAAGGGGTGCCCGACCACGTTCACGTCGCCGTGCCCCATTCGGGGTACAACGGCCTCGACCCGCTGCAGTGGGTGCGCGGTTGGTCGGGCGAGAAGAAGCTGTACTGCTGCAAGACGGCCCAGAGGGGGTGTCCTTCGGAGCTGCTGGCGCCCTCGGGCCTGCCGCCCTCTGGCGAGCCGCCCGCCCCCGACGCCAGCGTCTACGACTGCGACCCGCGCTGATGCCGCGCCCCGGCCCAGGCAGGCTAGGCCGAGGCGCGTGGTGCTGGCCGCGGCAACTGAATGCGAGAGCGACGAGGCATCAACAGCAGCAGTAGAAGCAGCAGCAGCAGCAACAGCAGCAGCAGCGGTTTCCGCAGCAGCCGCGGCTGCTGCACGAGAGCAGGGGGCAGCACAGAGATCGGGTGCAGGTTGCTCACAACAGCCAGGCCCGGGATGAACGCGACGCTGGGCCCCAGGCTGGGGCGGCCTGTTCAGGCCGGCTTTCGGAGCCATCCCTGCGCCGTGTGATGATTGCCGCGCGAACTTCCACGAGGGCTGCAAGGGCGAGGAGCCAGAGCGAGAGCGCCGAGAGTTCTGAGGGGCCGCGCCGCGGTGGCCACGGGAGGATCGATGGGGTATTTTTAGTGGGAACCAGACGAGGAGGGTTTGGAACGCAGGCGCATGGGGGATTGTGCAGGCTCGGATGCCTGCCGGCGGGCATTCCATTATGGATGGCCCTCCGCTTGTTCTTCCTGAGGAATCATTTGTTGTTGCCGCGCTCCATGGCAAAGATACCGGCAAGCGCGGCAACCAGGATCATGATCACGATCACCGACATAAAACGAAAAACGGAACCACCGCGGCGTGTGGCTCAACATGTTCTGCAAGGCCGAGAGAAAAATGGGCCCGGCAGGGGCGTGCGCGGAACGCCCCGTCCGGGGTGTAAGCCGGTTCCGTTTTCATTCGAATTCCTCCTTGGAGAAACGGTAGGCGACGCCAGCGCCATCACCAGGGGAGGGGGGCCACCACCAGCGGGGGCGTCCATGATGTCTCCCCCCCTGGACTTGGGATGGGGGATGTCTCCAGCGAAGGGGGGGCGCGCGGAAGGCCCCATGGGGGGGCGCGGGAAGCCCCGGTAGATGTCGGGATTTGGTGTTTGAGCCCCTTCGAAGACTCCTCAGGGCTGGGGGCTGAGGCCCTAGGCATTCGGCAAAGGACCCGGGGACACACCCACTCCGTGCCCAGAGGCGCGGCGGATGAGAAGAGGACCACCCGATTGTCTCCCCGGCGCTGTTTTTGAAGGCCGCATACGACCAGGGATTTATTCAGAATTCAGAGCGAGAGTCCACCGCGGTCTCTTTCCACGCTGCCATTCTTTTGGGCTCAAGGAGTTCCCTCGACCACCTCGCGGCCGAGACGCCCTGTTCCCGCGGCGCCCCTCTGGTCGGGCAAGCTTCGGCCACGAGGGGGTGCGCTACGGCGGAGCCTTTGGCCCGGGCTACGGCGGCGGTCGCGCGCTCGGCTACGGCGCCAGGCATGGCGGCGGCGACGCGCACGGCTACGGCAGCGGGCGCGGCCAGGCGGACTGCTGCACGGTCGCCGCCGCCTCCTGCTGCGGCGTCGGCCCGCGCGGCGCCGCCAGCAGCGCCTGCGGCGAGGCCCGCGGCGGCGCGGGCGGCGGCGCGATCCTGTCGCACGCGGGGGCAGGGGGCGACTGCGCCCAGGTGAGTGGGAGCCGGCGCCGGCGATTTCGGCGCCCTTCGCATCCCCGGCGTTGGGCCCAGCGGCTGCTGCGTAGGGGTCGCGCTGCTGCTGGTTCCCCTGCCGCTGCCCCCGCTGCCCCTGTTCTCGCTCGCCCCTGGGGGCGCCGCGACCACGGCGACCGCGGCCGCCGCCGCGCCATTCCGCCGTGCACGGCTCCACCTGACGCCACCGCGACGAAGAGGACGACGACCGCAAGGCCGCCCCCCCCCCGCCCCCGCCGCCTCCTCCGCCCCCGCCGCCGCCGCCGCCAACGGCCGCCGAGAAAAGGATTAGCTGCGGCGTGGGTGCCCCCGCGTCGCGGGACGAGAAGGCGCAGCGCTGCCTCGCGGGGAACAAGGGGTGCCCGACCGCGCCCGCGTCGCCGCGCGCGGGGCGCGACGACCTCGACCCGCTGCAGCGGGTGCGCGGATGGTCGGGCGAGAAGAAGCTGCGCTGCTGCAAGCTCAGCGAGACGACCCACCTCTTCGTCGTCATCGCCCCGCGGGGCTGCGCGCCGCTGAGGCGTCGGCGCTAAGAGACGCTGCGGCCTGGCGAGCGCGCTGCGGCCGCTCGCCGTCGCGATGGCCTCTGCCAGCGGGTCGCATGTTCAGCGTTCTGCTGCGAGGGTGGAAGGGGCGATGTGGGCCGGCGTCTTTCCTCCCAGGCATCGCGGGAATAACGTGGTTTTATGTTCTCGGCCAGTGCCCGAATCTCGCAAGGCCATCGCGGGGCGAGGAGGGGCCAAGCCTCTTCGCGTCTTGCCGTTGCGCGCCGAGGAGAACGGCGCGCCGACGCGTCATCTCCATCGCCCGGCCCATCAGAGACACCCGGATTCAGAATGGAGGTTGGTCCGGTTCAATACTCAGGGATGGGGTGTGTTTCGCAGTGATAGTCGCCACAACACTGCCAGTATTGTTGCTGCTGCAAGGGAGGGGAGGTGGGACGTTGCTCTCTTATCAGATATTCATTGTAATTCTGTTGGGGATCAGCTGCAATTGGTGAGATTGGAGCAGTTTCTTCTGCCGCAGTGGGGCGCTGTCGGCGTACTGCTCGCGGCTCCTACGGCGCGGGCGTGGCGAGCAGGCGGCGCCGCGGTCGTTCGCGCGCCTGATTGCGACCGCCTGCGCGCTTGCGCTGCCGATCAACCAGCGGCGAGTCGCGGTCGCCGCTGCCTACCAGCGCGGCGACGCGAGCTGTGTGAGAGGAGTTCAGGGGGCATTTCCGTGAGCTGCAGGGGATCATCCCGCCCTGCTTCCAGCACATCATGGGGGGCGATTGGAATGCGCACGTCGGTGCCGACGCTGCTGGCGAGCCCGTTGTCGGACGCCGGCCCCTGCCCACTCCCGCTGCCAGGCGCTCGCGTGCTTTTGCGAAGCTGCTGGAGGGGCATCGCCTCCGCCACGCCGATTCTCACGTTGCTTGTCGCCAGAGAGCCACGCGGCGGTCGCCGGGTGTCGACAGGGGCAAGTGGCATGAGCTGGATTACTTCATGACTGACGGCCCTGCGCTCTCACAGAGGTGGAAGTGCCTGCGTGCGTTCGCTATGCCGTTCGGGGACCATTTCGCCAAGATGGTCTCGCGCTGGCCGCATGGCCGGCCCTGGAAGGACCGCGGCGTCCGGGAGGTGGCGAGCGGCTTCGCAGACGTTCTGCGGCAGGCCGGCCGCTTGCGCTACGACCTGATGCGCGGCCCGCCCCCTGAGGCGTCTGCAGTGCGCAGGGAGCTTGCCGGCGCGGCCGCCCGCGCGCTCGGGGGCCCCGCCAGGCCGGCGTGGTCTGAGCTCGCCGCCGCCATGCGTACCGCGGGCGAGGAGGTGCTCGGGCGTGCTCCACGGCTGGACAACGAGCCTGCGCTGCAGCGCCTCCGCCCCGCAGAGCGGGCTCAACGACAGGAGCTGCAGGGAAGCTGGGAGGCCGTGCGGAGGGCTATCGGCACCGACGCATAGGGCGCCGCCTGCGCTGCACACCGACGCCTGCGCGCCCAGCACCGGCGCGACCTCCGGAGCCTTCGGAGGAAGATCGCGCGCGGCGTAGTGGGCGAGCTTGAGCGCGCAGCTTCGCGCCGCGACACTAGCGCCTTCTGCCGCGGCATGAAGGAGCTGGGCGCGCGGCCCAGTGACCGCAACCCCAAGGGCCGCGAGGGGTGCGCGCCGGGGCAGGGCAAGGAGCACTTCCTCAGCATCGGCGGCGCGCCCAACCTCGTCGACGAGGCGGCGCTGGACGACCTGCCGGGCGAGTTTTGGGCCCAGGGGCACGATCACGCTGCGGCGCTTGGGGGGCCGCCCTCCAATGGCGAGATCATGCTAGCTACTAGCCATCCGCGGCCTTCGCGACGGTGCGCCTGGCGACGACGAGATCACGATCGGCGCGATCAAGGCGGCCGGCGCGCCCGCGCTGGCAGAGGCGCGTCGCCTCGTCCGCCTCTTCTGGGACACGCCCCACGATTAGTGGGCCGACGTGCTGGGCCAGGAGCCGCTGCGCGCCGTCGTCATCCTGCTCTTCAAGAATTAAGGCCCCCCGCTCTGACCTCGACAACTATCAGGGCATTTGCCTTCTGGGCATGCTCTCTCGCATCGTCGCTAAGGTGGCGGCTGCGCGGGTCTCCAGATGAGCCGAGGAGTCGGGCCTCCACGGGCGCGAGCAGTGGGGCAGCCGCAAGTGCCGCTCCAAGCCCGACGCGGCGCCGGCGATGCGCATGCTGCTCGAGGAGAGCGCTCGGGCTGGCAGGGCGGTTTTGGACGACTCGCTCGCCGCCGTTCTGGTGGACGTGAAGAAGGCGTTTTCCAAGCGTGCCGCCTGCCATGCTCGACGTGCTGCGGGGGGCCCGCGAGCAGACCTGCTGCGTCGCGCGCGCTGGCGCCGGGGACCCCCCCCCCCACGTCCTCCAGCGGGGGCTGCGTGAGGGGTGCCCCACCAGCGGCATCCTCTACACTGCGTTCCACAACGTCGTGCTTCGGCGGTTGCGGGGGGAGCTCCGCGACGAGCAGAGGGTTTACCTACGCTGCAACCGCGACCAGCCACTGCCGCGCGCCACCGAGCAGCCAGATGCGCACGACTTGATTACTTTCGTGGCGCACCTGCTGGCCTGCGCAGACGATGCCACCATGCTCGCGCGGAAGCAGCACCTGCAGGGCCGTCGAGGACATGGTCATGCGGATCACGGGGCTGTTCGGGGAGACTGCGCCCTGGGTAGACCGAGCGGCTGCGCGCCGCCGCCAAGATCGAAGCCGCGCCGCCGGGCTTCCTCGCCGCCGTCCGGCTGCTGGGCGCACGGTTCGGCGCCGACGGCGGCGCGGAGCAGGGCGGCGCTAAGCGCAGTCATGCTGCCCGCCTGGCGTGGCGAAGGATGCGCAAGCAGCTGCCGAGGCTGAAGCTGAGCAGCCGGCTCCGCGGCTCGGCGGCCCAGGCGACGGTCGCGGCCTCCTTTCTGCGCGCCCGCGAGGTGCGCCCCTTCACGTCCGCCTCCCTGAAGGCCTATCAGATTTTCATCAGCGGGGTCATTCGAGGCATCGCGTGCGACCCCACGCGTGGCGGCGCTCGAGCGATGGAGGGCGCGTGCACCACAGTGGATCTTCGGATAGAGGCTGGGATTGACGCCATCCCCGTGCAGGTGCTGAAGCGGCAGCTATAGGGCACCTCGCCCGGTACCCCGGCGACCGCCTGGAGCAGCACATGCTGGGCGCGTGGCTTGCCCCGAGACCAGCGGGCGCCGCCGCCGCGGGCGCTGGCGCGCACGCCTCTCAGGCGCCTTCGCTTCGAGACACTTACTGGAAGCTCGTCGTCCGCGTGATGGGGCTGACTGGGTTGCCCGAGGAGGAGTGGCCCATACGCTGGGTCGAGGTCGCCCAGGACCGGCGCGAATGGCGACGCCTCTCCGACATTCTCGCGCACTTCGAGCGGCAGCGGTGCGACGCCGACGCGTGGGCCAATCGCGGCCACTGCCTACCGCGCCGAGCTGCAGGGGGCGTCGCGCGACCAGCGCGCAGGAAAGAGGGGGTGTCCACGGTGCGGGGCGTGGTATGTCGAGCTCGGCAACCGCGTGCGCCTCTGCGACGGCGCCCCGCCAGTCCGCGTCGAGCCGAGGATCGCGAGCGGCGCGGCGGCAGGCTTCCGCCCCGTTCGCGGCCGAGCCGCCGCCGCCGCCGCGGAGCAGCGCGTGCGCCGCCACCAGCAAGCGCCGCCGCCAGCCCCCGCGGCGCCGGCTCGAGGTGGAGGTTTCGCGGCAAAAACGGCCCGCGCCCGCGGCGCCGGCTTCGGCGCCGGCCCCCTTCGTAGACGCTGCCTGCGCCGCGGGGGGCGCGGGCGGCCGCGGCTGCTGGCGCGGCAGGGGGCGCGGGCCCGAGCCTCCAGAGCGCGCGCTGACGCCGCGGGCGCCACGACGCCCGCCTAGTCGGGCCCGCGGCTCTCGCAGGCCACGGCGGCGGAGGAGGAAGAGGAAGGGGCCCGCCAGCAGCGGGAGCAGGAGGAGACGGCAGAGGATCAGAGCGTGAATTGCCTACCCCGCTTTCGCTTCCAGGCAAATCCAAGACGCGCCGCGCGCCCCCCCGTCGAGCGGCCTGACCAGTGCGGGCCGTAGTTTGGCATCGCTTGGTAGCTCTTGGAAGCGAGGGTGGTCAAAAGCGAGGTAGGCGCGCCTGGCCCCTAGAGGAGGCGCAGCTGGCGCGGGAAGAGGCGTCAGTAGAGGAGGAGGTAGAGGAGGAGGCGGAGGGGGAGGCAGAGGCGGCGAAGGGGGAGAGGGAGAGGCTGCAGCACAGGAATTTGGAGGAGGAGGAGGAGGGGGACTACATGAGTACGCTCAGGGCGATGAACTGGCACCTCTTCTGAAAGACGGCGCGGGGTGTCCTTCCTGCGGAGGCCGTCACAACAGCCCGCATGCATACTGTCCGTCTGCCCCGTATCGCATGTGGCTGGGTGCAGTGATGCACGGGCGTGCTCGAAAGCACACGTTCGAGAAACGCCAGCAGTGGTCATATGCTTGTCCGTCTCGTGTTCATACCTGGCCCTCATTGCGCGCAGCTGCCGCTCGCAAAGTGCAGTGTGATCTCCGCCACGCCACTGCAAGCCTGCCTCGGGTCGGCCCAGCCAGGGCGGCCATCCGCGGCAGCGCGCGGCGAGCCGCGGGCGGGCTCGCGGCCGCGAGGGCGGCCGTGGCACAGGCCCGGCAGCGAGGCGAGGGCGCGGCGCAGGACCGCGGGCAGGAGGTCCGGCGGCGCGCGCGGGGTCGTCAGGGCCAGCAGCCGGCCGCGGCCGCGCCGGGCGATGCCGCCCCCGCGCCGGCCCGCGCCTCAGGGCAGCAGCTCATGCTGCTCGACGCGCCCCACGACGCCACGGGTGGTGGTGGCCCCCCTGCGGCGCCAGCTGCGCAGGCTGTTGCAGCGGCAGCAGCAGCGCCCCCGCCTGCCAACGCGCCGCCTGCCGGTGGCGCTCCGCATGCTCCTGCGCCTGGCCCTGCTGCTGGCCGCGGCGGGGCAGCTGGCGGGCCAGGAGGCGGCGGCGGCGGCAGGGGCGCCGGCGCTGGCGGAGTAGGCGGCCGCAGGCGAGGAGGTGGCGGCGGCGGCGGCGCTGCGGCCCGCGGAGGCGGCCTTTGGGCCGGAAACGGCGGCGGCGGCGGCGGCGGCGGCGGGCGCGGCAGAGGCCGAGTCCGCGGGCGTGGTCTCGTCGCCCCCGTGGAGCAGGTCATGGAGGCCCTCGATCGTCACTCTCGGGATCAGCCGCGAGAGGGAGATCCACGTGCACGCCGACAGGGTCGGCTCCATGGTGGTCCTCCGCGACGAGGATCTCATCAAGGAGGCGTGGGACCTCCGCGACGAGTGGCGCCGCGCCGACAGGGCCCGCAAGGGGCAGCTGCCCGAAGGCGCCAACGGCCCCCTGCCAGTCCACGTCATGGGCAGCCAGCGCAGCATGCTTTTCACGGCCATCTGCGAGGCGGCCGCCGGCAGGCTCCAGGCGGGCACGCGGCCACGCTGCTGCCGCGCAGCTCGCCCAGACATCGCCCGAGGAGCTGGATACCAAGATTTTTCGCTTCAAGCCGCGCCACGAGGAGCCGATGGCTGGGCGGCCCTGGGTGTTCTACATCGCATGCACGATTCGGGTCGCCGCGGGCTTCCTGGATGCCCTCGCTGCCCTCCAGGCCTCGAACATGGAGAGGCTGCGGTTCGGGGCGCTCCACGCGGACGACGGTCCCATTGTGCAGCGGCTGCGATCGAGGGCAGCGCTAGGCCGGCGGCCGCCACGTGCGCGCGTAGAGGCCGCCGGAGGTACGCGTGCTCTTGGCGGCCGCCGGCAACACATCCATCCCAGAGAGGAGGAGGAGGAGGAGGAGGAGGAGGAGGAGGAGGAGGAGGAGGAGGAGGAGGAGGAGGAGGAGGAGGAGGAGGAGGAGGAGGACGACGAGGAGGACGACGAGGAGGACGACGAGGAGGACGACGAGGAGGACGACGAGGAGGACGACGAGGACGAGGAGGATGACGAGGAGGAGGAGGAGGGGGAGGAGGAGGAGGAGGAGGAGGCCGCAGCGGACTCCGATCCTCTGGCATGCCCAGCCCTGCCCCCTCGGGGGCGTGCGGCAACCTGCACGGCCGCCCCGGCGGCGCAGGCGGCGGCGCGGAGCGCGCGTCCGCCGCCCGCGGGCTGGCGCCCTGGCTGGAACGGCGGCGACCACGAGATCCCGCCCCACGGCGCGCCCCACGCGCGCTGCGGCCAGCGCGGGCGCCCGGGAGGCAGGGCACCTACGGCGCCGTGGGCGCCGCCTGGGTGCACGCCTTCATCGTTGCCCTGCTGGTGGGATCTGAGCGCTACCACATGCTGCTGCTGCAAGATGGCCCAGAGGGGATGCCCCTCGGAGCTGCCGCCGTCCTCGGGCCTGCCGCCCTCTGGCGAGCCGCC